TTGCTTGAAGAGAGCTAATTATTAATTTAAATAAATGAAAATCATAATTTTTTATTATTAAAAGTCTTCGGCTAAATTAATTATTAGCTCTTTTCAAGAAATGTGCCCCTAAATAACACTTTAGGGCATTATTTCATAATAATATGGTAGCATAATTATACATTTCTATAATAGTATTGAATAAATTCTTAAAGCATATCTTTGCTTACCATATTTATGTTAACAAGAATCATTTAACTGAACTGATCGTATTCAAAATTGCAAAATCTAAGACTAATCTTGAACAGACCACCAAGTTATCATTGTTAGCATTTAAATACGTTTAATCGATAATACTGCAAATGTATCCATGCATCATGATTATTCTAATATCTTTGTGCTTTCTAAGATTGTTACTATGTTATTATATAAGTAATAATTAAATTCTTATTGCTAGCCTAATCAATCTGTGTTGTAATAATTACTGAATAATTTTGAATAATTTTGAATTGTATAACTAGAAATAGTATTTATATTCATAATACACACAGTTGTATATCTTCAATGCATTTTAATAATGATATTTTATTATAGTTATCCTGACACTTGATTAATACAGATGCTAAATAATGATCGCTTTCAAAATTTAAAAACTGTAAATAATTATATAAGCCAGTTACTTTTCCTTCTTGTTTATTAAATTAGTTATCTATCAACATCATTTTCAAAAATTCAATTACTATGTCTACATCTTATTTCATTATCGATTCTTCTTCTAAGTCTTCTCTAGAAAACATACAATATTTTAAAAAAACTGAAAAATCTGTTAATAATTCAAAAGAACGATTAAAAAAGCAAAAGCATGAATTTGATCAGAAACTTAATAATGACCTTGAAACACTCAAGCCCTGTAAGATATGCAAAAACACACAGAAAGATGACTTTTCGCAAGCTAATAAAAGATCTTTTTATTTATCTATTAAACAACATCACATAGATTCTTTGAATCACGATTTATTGTGGTGGATCATTATTAGCCAACTACCACTTATAGTAGTTGAAGAAGAATCATTTAGAAAATTTGTTTGCAATCTTGATCCATATTACAAACTTCTCTGTTGTTACACACTCTCTTTAAATATAAAAAAACAATTTGACTTTATAAAAGTTAAAATTAAAGAAACTTTAAAAAAAAATAAGAATAAATTAGCGCTCACCTTAAACATTTGGACAGTATATATCTAATCTTTTCTCAGCATTACAGCTTATTAGATCAATGCTGAGTGGATGAGGAAAGCTCTTATTCTTGAACTTATTCCTTTGCAAGAAACCTATACAGAATAATATATTAATAAAAATGTTCTTAATACTGTTAAGGAGCTAGATATAAAGAAATAACTAGTCAGATTTACTAATTACAATGTAGTAAATCAGACATATCAAAGTTTCTTTTAAGAATCTATAAACCCCAATCTTAAGTATGTGTTTTGTGCGGCAAGCGTCATTGACCTTATAGTTAAAGTGGGTCAAAACCATTATCTTAATCCGATCCAAAAAGCTTGTAATTTTTGTAAAAAAAATAAATTCATCTTCAGTCTTGGAGGAATTAAAGAAAATTTCAAATATTCTAAACATTACTTTTTTTCACTCTGTGGTTGATGTTGAGGCAAAGTGGCCTTCAACTTATGTAATGCTTAAGTGTCTTAGTCAAATTCAAGCCGTTACAGATGGACTCATATTATCTAAACCAGATTTAAAAAATGATTATCTGAAAACTGATGACTAGGTAATCATAAAGGAAATTATAAAACTTTTTAAACCATTTTACATAGCAGCCTTATTCCTTTTGAATACTTCATACCCTTCCTATGAATCATTGCGATTAATTGTCCAAGGACTTTCAATGCATCTTAATTCATATCTTTTCATTGATACACATCATGAAGCAGCTAAAGAAATGAAAAATAAATTAAATAAATATTGAACTTATCTTAAAAGTTCTTTTGCAATTCCTATACTCCTCGATCTGTCTACAAAATTTGAAACATTAGATACAACTGATCATCAAATAGCCATTATTCAGTTAAAACCACTATATAACACAAGTAAATCTAAAACAAATACCAAACCCAAAAATCAGTTAGAAATATTTTGAAAGCTTATGCAAGTAAATGAAAGCAATATCAAGACAGAGGTAGGTGAGTTAGAGGCTTATCTTTCTTTACCCTATGAGCTAGGTGTAGATCTGTTACTGTAGTGGAAAACAAATGCTCATCATTTTTCAACCATGACATGTATAGCAGCAGACCACTTAGCTATACAAGCTATGAGCATGTCTTTTGAATGTGCTTTTCCTACTGCAAATGCTACTATGCTTATTGGGAATGATCCTTCTAAAGAGATGGATAGCATTTTATTAGGTTTAAAAAGTTGGTTCGAAAAAGAATTTATAGAATAAAAAAGATCTATATATAACTTGATAGTTTTTTTTTATCTTTACCTATACATATCTATATTGTGTACAATTTTTATCATATTAAAATAAAGATCATCTTATCATTATCTACAATGTTAGAATAATGATTGGTGCAGAATTATGTAATCAATGAGATTGATTAATTTACATGTAATCAATTTTTTTATATATTAGCATTAGGCACCTTAGCTGAAATAACTTTTCAATCTTATAAGAAAAAAAATCTATACTAACAAAATACATTTATTTGCTAGAATAAATGATTTTGTAACTAAATATTTTGAAGGATCCTTTTGTAGTATCAAATTATTAGATGTATTTTCGAAGATCCAGTGAATTAAGTTCTTGCAAATTGAGAATAAAAAATGTTCGAATGCAAATAGACTGAAGACAGCTAAGTTATCCTCACTTTTTCATATTCATTTCTATTTTGTTGAATTCATTACACTAATAATACATTACCTTCATGACTTTAATTTCCTAAGTATGATATTTAGGTTTCTGCAAGTAATGTGCTACAGTCACCTACTATAAATATGTGGACACTTTTTGAAAAATTATAATAAGCTAATTAAAAAAGATATCAAGCTAAAAATAATATCATAAATTCATTAAATCTAAAACTTTTAAATAAAAAAAAGATTATAAAATTCT